AGACTCACCAACAGCGGGTTACAACATCAATACACGACCAGAGACAATGGCAACATGAGGGCTACTTATACCAAACACTAAGGGTCACATGACAAGAATCAACCAATGAGAGACAGGACACATGACTAAGACAACGAATGATAACATGACACATGAACCAAAGAACCAATTAGAACATAACACACAAGGTCCGTTCGACTTCATGCGGCGGCGCGCAAACCGATCGGCGGCTGACTTGAAGCAGTGCATGCCGGTTAGAAATTTTGTCCGACTTGAACCGGCGCCGACACCACGTCACTGTGTGGCATCAAAGTACCGCGATAGCGTTTCGAGAGCAGCCGGCTGACTCAGCCGGCGCAGTTTGTCCAGAGCAGCGTTGGTGGCGTTGGTGACGACACAGCCATTTCACGATTGGCCAGATTCACCGCATGACAACTATCACGGGATTATTCAAAGTTTTTTTACTGTGGTCGCAATGTTATATTGAGTCACGTTTATCATAAAACACTGATGAAAGCATATATTCCCCCACTTTATTAGTATTTAAATAGTATATATTTACGTTTAACTTTATTCTTGAACAGATGGCGTTGTATTAAGCAGTATATAATCAGTATATCTGTTGCTCATGAAAACGTTTCTGAAACGTCTGTATATTTGACAAATATTGCATTTAATTAACTTCATCTGTGATAGAGTATGCAAACACCGCGAGAGCGTCACTAACGGGAGCAGAAATGTCCGGCTTGACAGCTCCGTTTTCAACTCCGCCCCCGACTGCAAGCGGCTACTCTCGTTGATCGCCGTCTGTAGCCGTGCTTCAAGTCGATCTCACCTGATGTGTTTGAGAGAGGCGGGGCATAGAGGACCTACAATAATGTACAGTATTTTAAAAATAATGTGTTTTCTGAACATTAAAGCATGTCAACATATTCTGTTAAACCAAATGCACAAAATAATGATCTTTAAATTAGCATCATATGACCCCTTTAATTATTCTAGAGTGCTAATACAACTATTTTCAAATATAATTTAAAAGAATTTGTTTCAAATTAATGCAAATCTGAACATTAAAAATGACAAGCACTTTTTAAAACATGTTTGATAATACAAACTAACAAACACAGCAAACAAACAGCAATCAATGACTTCCTTGCAACGTCATTAAATTTACCGCCTCCACATTTCAAATTGCAACGGCTTTTCTAACTGACCTGAGAGAAAAGCTATGAAGGATACGGAGAAAATCTGACTCACGGGATGAACTCAGCTCTTCCCAGTCCAAAACGGTATTGTCGCCTTTGAAATGTCCGTCATATGAAATATTTAGTATTTTCTCACTTACTGTATAGTTCAAATTCAATTCACCCGAAAAACTTTTTGACATACTTGTTCTTTACTCAAAGCGCGTGGATATTCCAGAATGAGAAATGTGTTTCTAACAAATTACTGTTTGTTTGGTGTGATATTGCAACTCACTAAAAGATACATTGTTGTTTCATGCTATAAATGAAACGTCTGGTGACAGCAATATTAATCGACGGTCTCACAGCGTGCAACAATGAATCCACTCATGGAGGTACAGGACACTCACCCCTCGAGGCGAACAGTATGGGGTCGCTCCGCATCTTAAAGTCAAACGCATCTAACTCGGGGTAGGCAGGGGTTGCAGGCGTGTGTCTGACAGCTGCTGTATTTCATTAAAATCCGCACAACAGAGCCGTCTCTGTTTCCCCCGCTTTCTCCCTGTGCGAACCAGCAGCAGACCTCCGCTCGCTAGCGCCCGGCAAAGTCTCGTTTCCTCTGAAAACTTCCCTTGAATCCCTCCTCGATCCTGACACAGAGCAGCTCTGTTCGCTTTCTGTTTATCGCGATCCCGACAGCAAACTGCTGCGCCTTCGAAGGGGAGCTGCTTGGAGACTTAATGTAAAATCTCTCACTTTCTCTCCATGTCGTGCTCGGCGAAAAGTGGGACCTCCTACCTCTCTATTTAGTTTCCTCTCCCTATTTTCTCCGCCCTGTAGCCTCACTTCTGCAATTCCACAGCTGGATACAGCGCATGTGTGTGGAGAGGGACGATTAACGAGGATAGGTTTAGTGCGCGGATAGGTTTATTACTCCCATATGCAAGATTAGAATATTTAAGAGCATCTTTATCCTTGTTTGTATTTAATAAAAAAACTTTAATTCTAAGGAAGCTTAAAAAACAATACATGAACTCATCCAAGAGTTCAAGTGTATATTCTTATTTATATTGACCTATAGGTATTTTCTAATCAAATATTTTGATTCATCTTAAACATAAAGGTCATCATCAAACGTAATTGTTACTGTTTGCCATTTTATGTATATCAAAACTGCATTTGGTTGTATTTTAATGCATGTTTCCACTGTAATGGAGTGCAGAATGCCAGAGATGTTATATAGCAAACTAAGGTTTCTTATTTAGGGCTCGTTCTCACTGACAGAATTGTGCAGAAACAAAGTGACCAGACATTATCATTTTCAAAAGAGTTGACAACTTACGCTGACATTGAAAAGTTGAACAGCTGAGAAGTTGAATAGAACTATGGAGGAAAGAAAAGTAAATGCTGCCTCTATTATAAAGGGAAACAGAGAAAGAGATGAGACAGAAAAAAGGTTTGCTGCTTTATTCTAGCACAAGTGAACATATTTCTCTGTCAAGTTTATACATCATCTATTGATTCATTAGAAGACCTTAATCTGAAAGGTTCTATAAAAAGTGAGAAACTCTGCAACATCAGTGTGCTGGTGTGTGATGAAATCACCAGGGTCATTGACCTAGATGTTTTAACAGAGCATTAATATACAGTCTTTATTGGCTAAAGTGTTTGGTTTTACCTTAGTTCCCCCTTTGTTTTACCACTTGTGAAACACTGGTGCTTGAATTTGTGACTAATGCTTCTCATGTTTCCAATAATAAACAGGTCCAAGGCTGATATGGCCTAAATGTGTTGTACATTTATTTGAAAATAAACAATTAAAACTAAAGAAAAGATCTTTTAAAGATTTCAGTCAGCACTTATATTTCTCAGCCTCCTCATGTGCGTCCCATTTATCCAAAATTTTCTCTCGTCACCTACAGGGGGTTCACATATATTACAGACCATAAAGGCACATAACATCATAATTTGGAATTAGTGATGAAAATAATTTTATACAAAAGGTTATTATTTCTTTTTAAGAATGTAATTACAAGTCAATGTAAAGGTATGACTGGATTGCAAATCATTGCACACATGTGTGGGTGGCCAAGTGAACTCACGTGTGTGTCAGCAGGATATTGTATCTGGACACCGATCCATGTATTTGGCCTTGGTGCAAAAACAACTATATGCTCTGACATCATACTGGGGAGAGAATCAAATTGATATGCAGACATTAAGTCCACCCAAAGCCTGCAGCACAGCAGAAAGCAATAGTGTCGTTGACTAATGGCGCTTTTCCACTGCATGGTACGACTCGGCTCGGTACGGCTCAGTACGGCACGGCACGGTTCGGCTCGGCACGGTTTGCGTTTCCACTGCAGTTCAGTGCCGCTTTAGAGTGGGCGGGATTATTCACATGTCGTTATAGTTGCGCCGCCTCTACTACCACGACTCCTAAAAAAAACTTTTTCATTCCGCGTCGCCCCATCAAGCTCTCGCTGGCCTCGTTCAAAACAGTTGCGTTCGATCCTTCGCTGGCTGTGCTGATTTAAATCTAGCGGTTCTTTTGTGTTTGTGTCGCAAGTTCAGTGACGCAGGTAGTGACGATTCTCTCCGGCCAATCCGTGATCAGCAGAGTTTACACGTCACGTTTTGGTAATGGTACGGTTCACTTGGAACCCTAACCGAGGTGGTACTAAAAAAAGTACCAGGTACCAGGTACTGTACCCAGTGGAAAACCCCCCAAAAGTGACCCGTCCGGAGCCGTACCGTGCCGTACCATGCAGTGGAAAAGCGCCATAAGAGGTTTCAACACAAAGCCTGCATTCCCCACAGTATCAGATTCAACACTTTATCAGATTCAAACAAGTGCCAGTTTTACGATAACATAGTTATCTGTCTTCTGTTTGTTGCATTCCTGTATAACTTTATCAGTTGGGGTATACCTTGTGTGTTTAACTTAAATATGCACCGTCATCTGCTTCTTGTGGCATCACATGAAAGTCATGACAAAGCCATGTTTATTATCTACTCACATTAAAAAAGGCACATGGCACAAGTCAGACAATCTAGAGAGAGTTATGTGGAGGAGACAATAGAGAGAGAGAATAAGGTTACTGTTGAGGTCATTATAACGGCACAATTCAATACAGTGCACACAATTCAATAGAGTGATATCTTAGAAGAGTCAAGAGTCTTTAGAGAGATACACAAGAAGAGCTGCAAGCCATTTAAAACAAAATTGTGAAACACTTCATTTCTGTCAAGAATCTCAAACATCGAAACATTCAGCTAATTTGAAACACAAACTGTGGGTCGTGATAAAGTAACAAAAAATAGAAAGAAATTGTATCTAATGTAAACAACATTATGAGTAAACCGCATCTAAACTTTATCTCTTCCCAGCTCCAGACACGCCGTCAAAACAAAGCAATTCTGTGATACCCCTCTAACAGGACTTGGCCCTCACATCACATGCTCAGGATGTTGGAAGCAGGGTGGAGGCCCCGTACTGGCAAACTGGTAACTGTCAGGAGGGTAAGCTTTAAACAAACAGAACTCTAATGAAGCATTGAAGAGCCTGGTAGCCAGTGGAATGACTGCTTCCTCTGGGTTCCACTGCAGGGCATTCATTACAGCAAAGGCTGTTTTGTCAGGGGCAACACAGGAGCTGATTTCAAGGTCTTTTGAAGTGCATCTCACAGAATGTGCCTGTGTGTCACTCATCAGTGCTTATGTGTTTTCATGTGTAACGAATCAGCTCATGGGAAATATGAATAATTAATCATAACTAGTTATAATTAATTATGAATATTTTAGATCCGCTGTAGATATTTACTTGACCTCTCAGGGTCAACTGTCTTGTCAATTCTAAGAACGTTAATTTCCTGGTTAAGGGAAATAACTTTCTTACTGTACAATTCTACAAAAGCTTGTAGCATAAATCTGCATGATTAAGCGACTCCAGATATGAGCAAACAATGAACCACGTCAAGTGTGATACAAGTAAGGTTTTATTAACTACATAAACACTTAAACTAGTCCAACATACACATAAACACTTAAACTGGTCTAACATACACATACACACACACACACACACACACACACAGTTGGTATAGGAAAGGGTTAAAAGCTTAACGCAGTAAAGAGAAGAGAAATAAGGAATATGAAGTTATAGAACCATTTGCATATTCAGCAGATTTACAGCCTGAAGGGAAACATCAGATTCTTAGTTCAAACACACCTTTGTAAAAAGGTGAAAATGATACCTAATGTATCAATTAATAAGACTAAGTTTGGATACTTGCAAGTCTCATCTGTCTGAAAGAGAGGTTTGATGTAATCTGAAGTTTCCAGTTGATCTTTGCTGAATTTGGGTCGATGAAAAGAACCAGTTTTGAGTCAGAGAATCTTGATGAGTGGAAAAGTCGAGGCTGAAGGCCTGGCACAAAAACTTAGGATGTCCTGGAGCATTGGAACTCACATCTTATCGAAACCTAACAGAACCACCGACTGGGGAGGGTCCCTGGTGTGGGCCTTTAAGGTCGGAGAAGATCCCCGCCTCTCAAGATGGGCTTGTCCAATGAGAAAGGCCGGTATCCCAAGTGGGAGTTTTGAGATACTGGGGAGTTTTTATGACCCTTTGTGTGAGGGCATGGTAATTTGCAAATGGAACTTGAATCGAAATTACTAAAGATTCTCAGGACACTAATATATTGCCTATGTACCAACATATAATATACACGCTCGTTTCGATCATCAGAAGGCGAATTCATAGATACTAAACATGGTGGAGATATATATATGTAAGCTGACAGGAGGGTGTTTCGATTATAAGTCTGCATAACAGTATACAATTTCAAAGACCAAATACACGATGACAATAATATACCCAATGACCTGAAGGATGATGTGTGTTCATTCAAAGAAAGGTTTTCCTATGAATTAATTAGTAGAAAAGTCCATTTCTACTCTGCCTTTCCTATGGGGACAATGAGTGGGTTATTCTACTCACATTCCTGGGGGGGGTCATAAAACCAGTGATATCATGATTAGTTGTCATGGTGACCAGGGGGCCTGGTGTTCTGCAGAAATCCTGGCATCCAGTTTATTGAGTGAGGGGACTGTGACGATTTGTTAATCTAATGAATAATTGATTTGTTAAATCAAATAAAAATTAGTGTGTCAGATTGGTCGAGACGCTACATATATCCCCCCCTTTCGAGCGTTGTTGTCCGTAGAATAGACAACAGCGAGCGACGTCAAAGGTGCAGAACAATCTAACACACACCTGTCACTCACGGCTGGGAGCCAGTGGTGGCTCTCTGGCTGTTGGTGCCTCCAGGAGTGGTTGTGGTGCCGTGGTGGATGCTGTCAGGTGGTGTGCTGTGGTGATGTAGACTGTAGCAAGGTGCGGGTCCTCGAGCTTATGCAGCAGGTGTCGAGGCTGTGTCACCTTTCATCCTGAAGTGAGTTAGTCCGGGTAAGATGGTTGTTTGTTGGTGTTGTTAGCAAGTAGGCTATCTGTGGTACCCGTGATGTGGGACAGCCGGGTTAGACTCTCACTGGTGAGAGTGCAGGTGGTTCCAGGGATTGCCGGGAACTGTTATGGAGATTCTATAGTGTGTAGAGAATTTCCGACTGACCTAGTGATGATGGCAGGAGAGCGGCAGGTGGTTGTTAGCCCTCTGCTTTGCTCAACATCACTAGAAATCCGATGTTTGCGGTGTCGCTTGGCTCTTGTGGCGGCACCGACTTGAGCTTGCCTGAGTTGTGTTGGTAGAGCTTTCGCTGTTGGGCATG